TGAGCGATCCTCCCGCCTCGGCCTCCCAGAGTGCTAGGATTACAGATGTAAGCCACCACACCTGGCCTGTATGTGGTTTTTATAACTGTCCTTTATAACAGTTCCTTCTCACTATTTTTTCCCCATATTAACTATTTATTGAAGAAAGTATAGAATTTCCCATATTCTGGAGTTGCCAAATTGTATCTTTGTGGCATTATTTAACATATATATCTATCCCCATAGTTCCTGTAAACTGGTATTTAGATTCAGAGGCTGGATTAGATTGAGGTTCTTTTTGTTGGAAAAAATACTTTGTAGTTGGTCCTGTATGTTTCCTATTCCCTCACTCCAGAAAGAACTTACTGTCTAGTTGTTTCCATTTTAGTGACTTAAGATTGATCTGTGACTTAGGTTTCATCAGCTTGTTCTATCCATTAAAAAGTTCATGATTAATTTTTACTTAATGGTCTTAGCTGCCATTAGTAATTGTTGCTGATATCCATTATTTCACTAGGGGTTATAAAATGATTTTCTATTTACTATTTGATTGTTTTGTAAAGAAGAACTATTTCTTACTGACTGCTTGGTTACCCTGAAGTACAATTTGTATAGGAAATGTAGACTGAAAACTTAATCTTTCCCTTTATCCATTTTCAAAAGATTTTAGTGATGATTTTAAACAAAATGGTCTATTCCTTAAAGCACTATTATGGAGAAGGTATCTCCAGCCTCTTTGGGAACAATGCAAATAATATATTGTGCTGAGCAGAAATGCCAGAATGTGGGAACTCAGATTTCTAAGATCAGAGGATATATGGCATATGTGGCCCTTCTAATGTGGCCTCTGCAAGTCATTCAAGAAATATTTATTATGTATATGCCATGACATGTACCATGATAGTCACTTAGTTATATAGCCATGAAGACAGAGCCAGTGTTTTGCTCTTTGATCTCTTAGCTCAGTTTTTACAATTGCAAGTTTTCCCTCCCTCTGTCACTAGTTGATCTCTGTTTCAGTCATAATGAACTAATTAACATCCCACAAACATACCGTACTGTCTGTTACCCCTGGTTGCTTATCTTAGTTGTTCCCTCTGCCTGGAATATCCTCTCCATTATCTCTGCTGCTCACTCTCACCTCCTTCTGCCTTGCCTCAAAGCTTGGCTAACTCATTCATCTTCCATTTTTTTAATTTAGATCACTTGCTTTGTGAAGCCTTTAACTCTTGCTGATCCTCTCCTCCAATTGCATTAGGTATCCTTTCTCTGCTCTTTGCTTGCTTAATATCTATATCATAACATTTATCTGATTATGTTGAAATTGCCTGTTTGCTTGTCTGCATAACCCATTAGACTGAACTTCTCGACTTAAGAATCGTTTTTTGTCTGTATTGTCTCTGTAGTAGCCAGTTTAGTGCCCGACATGTTAGATACAT